CACTGAGAACCGGATAAGTTTACCAACACAGTTGTGTGGGAATCCCACTGGGAATATGACCGTAAAGGGAATGTGCTGGGCGGTGGAGGACGAATGTTTTGATTCAGGCAAAAGTGCCATTCCTAGGGGAACAATATTAGCATACCGGGTCTAACACCTTCGTTGTATTGTCTGGGGGTATTTGAAAATAGGCTGTGTTTCAGGTGGTGGGCTTTTGGGCAGTGACATGCGATCGTGAAGGTGCAGATTTTTAAAGGAACTAGATTTATTAAGTATTCGACTAGCTGAAACTGCGGTCAGACTTAATTTGGAACCTAGTCCTTGAATTTGTTTATTAGAGGTTACTGGTGCAGTAGGTAAAAGTGTTTGTACATAAGACGTGTTGTTGCTGTTTGGGTCTCAAAAGACCAACCTTGGGTGAATCTCATAGATACTGAACTAAGGTATGAGAAGTTGAAACCGCAGATGACTTTGGAAACGACTTGTTCAGCATGACAACAGTGGTCGTCCTTTCGGTGTTGTTTGTCGACATTTTCAGCTTTTTTAGATATTCTCTGCGTCAAGTGAGGTCAGCAAAAGATAATTAGTGTCACTTACATCGGAGATTTCCAATACCATTACTGTTTTCTCACCAAGTGCATGACGAACGATTTTTTTAACTTTCCAAACTCATTCCTCAAGCCACCTATCTTTTTTCTCATTCTAAAGATGCTTCGAATAAGCCTTAACCACTTCGCACAATGTCCATCTTCCATCAATGCTATTAGAACTTTTTTGCTGTGGCCGAATGTTGCCCGATGACAAAATGCCCTTTTATAATTATTTTCACCGCTTATTACGCTTGGCCCGTTATATTTTCTATCTACTTCAGTTCTAGACGAAATTCCAGGTACGATTGTTTTTCGAAAAAATTCCTAAGTTCAGCTTCCAGGCTGTAATTGCATTCGCTTGGCCGAAATGTCGAAGAAGGTTAATTCCTCGGAGATTCGGAGTTTAAAACTCATGTCTTCGGGAGCGAACCCATGCTCACTATCGTCTGACACCAGTTTCTTCTCTCTTTTACCCTTCACTCGACTTTTCCGTCATTTCATTCCTTTTCTGTTGATGTAGATATCCTCTCACTGCTTAGGCTGGTTAGCCGCTCCTAACAAAACGGATTCCACTAAGGCGCCGCAAACATTTCCGTTGCCTTAATAGGATAATATTAACCCAATACGAGGAGTAGCATACTTTGTAACGTATAACGTTCGGGTCGATACAAGGGGAAAAATTTTTTAGTTCCCTATGTCGTGGTGGCACATATCCCTGCACTGGTCAAGCTCCGTCTTGAATGTGTCCACGGGTGAGGGCATGACGACGTCCACAGGCAGAGCCTTGCACGCCTTAATCCCACTGAGGCTGAAGAAGAATTTCCTTGGTTCACTCTTTCCCAAGCCACACGAAGTTCGATAGAATACCCTCTCAAGCTGGCAGTTGGTGGCCCGCACAAGAAGTCGCCGGTTGCGAGGCAACAACATCAATCCCGCATCATGCGAAATGTTTGAATTAAGTGGTCGCGTAACTGCCTGTAGTCCAGGGAAAAACGCTCTGGCGAAGCTATTGTTCGCAAAGAACTGTTGACGGTGAATAATTCCAAATCACCTGGACCAGATGACATACCGCCCAAATTGTTGAAGGAGCTCGCTGGGGAACTATCTAAACCGATGTCCATGCTCTTCCAAGCTTCGTTCGAAGCAGGCTATTTGTCCGCCGATTGGAAATCTGCGCGGATCACGACGATTTATAAAAGCGGTAGTAAGGTCTTAGCAAACAGCTACAGACCAATCAGCCTTAGTTTGATTTGTTGCAAAATTATGAAAAAAAACACTTAAGCGAGAAACAATGCCCTTTCTGGAAGAGCAAAATCTGCTTTGTGATGCCCAGCACGGATTTCGTAGAGGCAAATCATGCGTGAAAACCTACTCTATTGTTTAGATCCCTGGACCCTGGCAGTCGATGGCGGCAATGCAATGCACGCAGTCTACGTCGAGTTTAAGAAAGCATTCGACAGTGTACCACATCAGCGTCTCCTGGACAAATTAAGCCGAAGAGGTATTGAGGGTAATTTCTTGAGGTTTATCCAAAGCTTCTTGATCGGTCGCTCTCAAACTGTCCACGTCGGTGACAGGCAGTCGGCGGAGGTAGCAGTTAAAATCGGTGTCCCTCAAGTCTGCGTCCTCGACCCTAGCCTATTCATTATATACGTCAACGACTACATCAGTGAACTGAATTATGATGTCGTTGTGGTCGCTGATGATGTTAAACTTTGGAGCGTATTCCGAACGGAATTTGACGAGGAGCGCTTGCATGCAGACCCGACTCGACTCGAGAAATGGCCACAGGACTGGCTTTTGCTGTTTTATGTGGCTAAGTGCAATGTTTTGCAAGTCGGTATGACCCGATCTCTGAGCCGGAGGGTTAACCACCTAAATGGCTTACCACTGCAGGAGGTAGCCGCCCAGAAATACTTGGGTGTGTGGGTAACGGCTTCTCTAAAACCGTCGCTCCACTGCTCCAAGGTGGCCAAGTCCGCGATGTCAGTCCTTTGTCTAGTCCAGCGAGCTTTCTCTACCTTCGCTTAGGACTGCTTCGTTAAAGTCTTTCGGACATTTGTACGGCCATAGCTAGAGTTCGCTATTAAGGCGTGGAAACTATGGACCCTTAAAAATCTCAGCATCATTGAGAAAGTTCAAAGGTGGGCAACTAAACTCGTTAGTGAACAGGACACGCTACTCTACGAAACACGACTATGCAATATCGGCCTTTTTCCACTGAGATACAGACAGATAAGAGGCGGCCTTATACGAACATTCCGTATAATGCGCGGCCAGGACTGTTGTCTCTTACCTGCTGATTTCTTTGAATTAGCAATCACGACGAGTCTCCGAGGTCATCCACTTAAACTACGTATGACTGGCGCCAGGCTGGATATTCGGAAGTTCTTTTTTTCAAGCAGCGGGGTGGAGGCTCGGAATGCTTTGCCAGCAGATATTGTCGTGTCAACCTCCGTCGAGGATTTAAGCACAGGTTGGACCAGTGTACCACTAAACCACATAATGACATCTGGCCGATATCGTTTGAGCATTTTGTTTGAACAGTTTATTAATTTTATTATATTGCTGCCTGCATTTCAGTAACGTTCGTTTTTTTTATTATTGTCTCAAGTCCGGTTGAGTGTGCGTGTTAGCATTCAGTTTGTCTCCCTCAGAAACTGAAATCACACCAATTATCCATAGACGGACTACTGTACAGCACATTTGCTAACGTTATTGCTTTTAACACATGGGAAAATTCGTTTATCTGTCTGGTTTCGAAAACTTTCCTAATCTAAAAAACCTCTGTAGTTGTTTGATGTTTCCATTCTCAAATTTTTGATATAATTCGCTTCCTTGTAACAAGTAGGGAGTTCAAGCGTTCAACACCTATGTTTTCCTCAGATAAACTGAAACTGAAAAGGTCGGACAATCGGGTCTCGTAAGGTAGGGTTTCTTGACCACTGACAAGCTCGGTTGTGCGCCTTTGAACTTTTTCGAGGGTGGTACGGTCTTTAACAGACTAGGGTCTCCAGGCCTGAACGGCAAATTCCAACTGTGGCCGCAGGAAAATCTCGAAAACCTTGGTAAAACAAGACATATACCATACCTGTCGTATCCGAACGTAACGGTGAGATGATCCCATGCACAGTGACGTTCTTAAGCCGCTAAAGTAACAAACGCTCAGGGGACCTGGAATGTCCGAAGCTCCATGGATGTCGTGAACACCAAACTGGACATCCTGGCCAGGCGTCAGCAAATGTCTGCCTGGAAGGGCGAAATGTTTATGATTTTGTAAAACGCATATTCTATTCAGCATTTGGCGATGATGTCGCCCGCAAGGACGGTAAGGAAAAGGTTAGAGGATACCATACTAACAGCACAGGTACTAGCTGAAAGCTCTTGGCAGTTCAAAGTTGTACGAACTGATCACAGATGAGTTACGGCGTATCCTACTAAACTTACCCCACACAGACTTTTATGTAATATGGAACAGATGGAAACACGTGGACCTCTAGGATTACGAGGCCTCCTTCACTAAACGCCCAGAGCGGTCCTTGCACGCGACAGGTAAGAGGATACAAAGAAGTCAAACACTTTCAAAGGTGAATGGTATTCAAAGTGCGGACATATCCTACATATGTCTTACTTTCAGAAAAGGTATACATATCGTCTACTTTAAACCAATGCGTGACTGCATCTTGTGAATACGGACCGTCCCTGTCGCAGGTGCTATTTTTATCTACTTTTTCCCTATTTTACTATATATTATTAGAAAACAACTGGCAAAATTCCGCTCCCTTATTTTTATGGCTTATGTGGATTTAGTTTTGAGTTTTAGAACCTCGGCAGCGACTAATTTACGATAAAAAAATTATCTGTCGACAGGAAACTGTGGTGGAAGAAAAGCATGGAACATTATATTTAGAGGAAGGGGAGTACTTTAAACATTCATTTGTTATACTTAGTAAAACAACCTTTTTTCGCCTAAGTCCCTCAAACTCAACGTGTCGGTATCAAGGGCATAGTGAAAAAGTAGCCAAACTTGATATCCAGACGATATACCTATCTCGACATGGCGATATGGACAGCCAAAAGGATTTATGTTGCATACACTCCCTCCGTCATCCAGCCGGAGAATTCTGAGCAGTAAAAAGCTTTGGGATTTAGATAACGCAGAACAATCCAAAAATTAAATATTTTTCTTGAAATCAAAATTCAAGGTTTGGACGTTTTGGAGTTGCCGAGCCCTTTGTTATATCATGCCAAACGTGAATGATGTTCGGGTCGAATAATACTCAACGGCAAGGTCAGATGGATGAGTCCGACTATTTTGCGAGGTTGCGAGAAGCACACGAAGACTTTGTCAGTACATATCGAAGTTCAGGTGGATTTAACGCTTTCAACTCGGAAGAGCCATTGCCATCCATGAACAGTCAACAGCCAGCGTACGTTTTGTTCATTTCAGTTTATTGATAATTTATGGATCCTTTGAGTACCCTGTTTGCAACGCAAAACTGGGTGCGATGCACAGCGGAAACAATGCAGAACGCTTGTAAGAGATCTTTACGTAGTTGCCCATAACTCACAGGGAAGAGGTTCAATTTGTTGGCGGGCTGCTTAAGTTCCGTGGAAATATTCTCTATATTAAGTGACCCTTTGAATATTCTGATAATTTGCCGGGTATCGTCTCTATTATTTTCCGTTTCTCGTACTGCATGTACTCTTGGTTAAGTGGACACAACGAGAAAGTATACCGTTTTATGTCCTTTATTCCCGAAAAAACTAACGAACTCCTCTGGCTATTCAGGAAAACCTTTGTGATGTTATAGTTTTTTCATGATGACTAATACTTAGCCGGTTTTCGAAATGTTTTGAGACATTTTAATGCGTATGGTAGAGTGGGAAGGGCGTTCCCCAGTTGTTTATTTTTTGTTCTAAAAGTTTCGCCTGCGACTCCGGCTACCCATTCCTACACTGAAGTGTTGTGTACAGTTCTTATTATATGACACGCGGATTGTGTGCGCATTTCGCCCAATATATTGATGGCCAGTGCCGACTGTGGGCACGGATCAGGACCCCTTCCCTTGCGGTCTTTGTCGCCCTCGCCCGTTGGTCGTAGTTGTAAATAGTGGTTGCAGTGATATCATACCTTAACGATTTCTGTCAGGTATGTCCAAAAAGCCAGGTAGAAGCTAGGCGTTGTCATGTGTGGTTAACTAAGCGATCAGTGGACGTCAAGGCTTCCTGCACCTGTCCTCTTGTCTGACCACCGCCTCGGCCCGTAATCTCGACGACATCAAAACTGAGACCGTGCTCAGACTGTGCGGCATTGAGTTATATCTCCGACTTTAATCTATGAAAGTCCGTCTGGAATTCATGCATTCGCATTCGCAGTCCTCGGCCGGTTTCTCCCGCATTTATCTTCCCTGTAGCTGCACTGAATTAAGTTGACCACAGTCGAATTCTCCTGACCATAGATGGAGTCTTTCGACTGCGCCACTTATCAGCAGATATGTTTGAAATGCCACAAGGCATCTAGTCCCAGTCTAGGCGACGCCTTCTACATGCGGAATGTCCCGCCACGGTCTTGATTGATTTAACTTGTTATTCCGCTTTATTTGAGGCTTTTGACTTCTATTTAAGAATGTTTATGCATACTCTTTGACTCTAAATATCTGTCGGTGTGCTTCATCTCGTCCTGTTTAAGGATTATGTTTTAAATGGTTTCCACCCACTGTTGGGGTGTACATATACAACTTCGTCTGTTTTGCAACAGGCGGTTGCTGTCTTAGGTCAGTCATTGCAGTGTTTCGGTGTGTCTCCTCTGACCTTCAATTTGAGTCACATAAGGACATCAAATACGGATGCCCGTTTTCCTTTTTATTCTTTTCTATGAAGTGTAGATAGAGAGTGGTGGAGTTCAGTCGTTCTGCACAGTAGTCAATCTTGCCCTCGGCAACAATGATAAAGGCGCCATCAACGCATCGCACCCAAAATCTATGTTTGTTTCCTTGAATTATCAGATTGTTGTAAAATCACCTCAGCAATAGTCCCGGAGATGGGCGAATCCATCACGGCTCTATTTATTTCATGAGATGAAATCCCCTCGAAGTAAGGTCGCGGTTTCAACTATGAAGCCGTTAATATTGTGGACTAATGTGGTAATCACACACTTAGAGTGCATGGATGTCCACAGATAGCTTAGTCAGCGGTCACATGAACCAGCCGGCCTCCTGTCCGACTTTGGAGGCTTAATTAATAAATAAAGTAATGTGAGGTCGTTAGAGTTGTCCGTTATCGTTGCAGTCAACTAGGGCCGTGGCGACCTAGACGACGACTGAATGGTGTCCAACAGCAACAATACTTTCAAGGCGCGGAGGGCTGAGTTCCGGCGCGCCGACTGCCTTATAAAATGCTGCAAAGCCTGATAATGGCGAGAGTTGACCGCCATTAAATGCGTTTGATTGCCCTTGCTGCCTTAAGCCAGAGCGCTAGAGGAGACAATTTTAAGCAAGCAGTCCGAGAGGTTGTTAGAGACCTATTTGTCCTCAAAATCCTCGGGAAACCTTATGTAAATGCCCAAGTGCAGTTAACAGTCACCATTGGCGATATATTCATCAGGCGAAATGCGTACGCAACCAATGTCATATAATAAAAACCGTGCACACTACTTTTCAGTTTGATTATGAGTAGCCCAAATCGCCACTTCAAGCATCAAAGAGGCAATAAACCTATTCCAGCAAATGTTCCTCTTGTTTTCGACGAATTGCGTGATATTCGCGTTATTACTACTGTTTGTATGAATTTTACTTTTAAAGTATCATCGTCCACTGAAGTTAAATATAAACTCACAGGTTAGGATTGCGTGCGGCGAGTTTGCGCTGAGTGCAATCTGCCATTCCCAAAAGTATGTTCGTTCGTTCCTCTACTAACGAACGTTCTGCGTCCGCTAAAATGAGCATCTCTGAGCACCGAAGTCACACAATACTGACTTTCTATACTTGGCTGTGCTTCATCTCCACGCCCACGTATTGTTGAGTGCTGGCCTGTGATCATGCTTATCCCTTGTACGAGTGCCTAAAAGTTCGTCTTCTCATATTTTCCAAATGCATTTCCTCATTATAAGGCCGCGCTCTCTCCCCCGGACTCGCGTCATTCGTTGGAGAATTTCGCCTATGCAGTCAACTCCCCAAGATTCCTGGCCTGCCGTGCAATTGACGACAACTCGCTGGGCCTCTAGCGTTATTGATAGACTTCCCACAAGCATTTTTCGGATCGATTCGAGGGACGGCCATGATAATTCAAATGACAGTGGTAAGAGGAGCTGTCCCGCTTTCTCTATTTTTATAGTTGCAGCAAATACAGTTGAAACAGCTAGAAGAGCATCAATGCCACCTTGTGAAGGGACGTTTCATCTCATTCCTGAACAGGAAAATTCGAATGACTTGGTTCCAGTCAATCAGTTACCGGTTTCACCTAGTCGGGGCAAACCCGAGTGTGAAATCTGCCTATGTATGTCTAATTCTACGATCTTACGATTCCAGTCTTGGAACTTGCTTTTAAAGTTTTTGTAACTCTGACTTAGCTGAATACGAAAATAATGATAGATTACGCCACCTGCCCTGCGGCCACAGTTTTCACGTCGAATGCATTGACCGGTGGCTCAGGACGGCGGAGAACTGTCCAAAGTGTCGAAGCAATGTGGTTCGAACCCTGCGTCGGATGCAAGTACAGGCTGTGCGCAGAAGAGCGCAGTCGGCGGAAAACAGGTCGTCAGCTTCAGTACACACAGACTCTATGCCAACTCTCAATGCTTCTAGGGTAGGAGCCCTTTGAGCAACCGAATTTCAGCTACTAAACTGATATTATTCTCTATTTTACCATATCATGTGTGACTGCTCTTAGCTCAGTTCTGGAGAGTTCGTTGTAGTGGTCATATTTTATCCGCAATAGTTAAAATTTCTATCCAAAATCATAGCAGCCTATTAAGTAAACGCCCTGAACTATCTGGAAAATTCGAAAGCTACGTTTGAGGAAATTTAAAATCCCTGTTCCGAGTTATGACAAGAGATTTCAACTTCATTTACTTGAGAACGACTCCTTTCACTTAGAGGGCTTATCCTACATTGATTTCGTGCAGTCCTTTAACTAACTCTTCCGTTCCTGTAAAGACCAAAGTTTACTCTTGGTAGAAATGGCCCAATTTTTCCTTTTGCTCTGTTTCCGTTCCTGATTCGCCTTTTATATCTAAAGAATCAGTCAATTTCTACTCTGAGAATGGCATTCAATCATGCGTCAGTTTCGACCGACGAGCCACCCGAAACAAGAACAAGTGTTCTTCGCCGTCTTCACGCAGCACAGCGCCTGCGTAATTCTATAAATTCAGCCATGGTAGGTCTCTCAGAGTGTTAAAGTCGGGTTGTTTAGCAAAAAGTTTGTAAAAAATGTGAGGTTAGCCGTTTATTTCGGAACTAGCACTTGTTTTTAGAATTTGAGGATGCAATTTTCGTCCTCCAACATTTTAACATTCTGTGCCAATTCAAGCTTAATTGTGCATTGTAACGTAGGGTGGTCGCCTGCCGGCAAGAGAAAGCAGACTTTGGATTGAATTTGGCCGAATGTCTTCGGTGGATAAAGAAAAATACACAGGAACATAGGCGTACGGGGCCGAAGAAGAGCCCTAATATGTTGTCTTTTGGAACAGAAGTGAAGACGGTAGAGGTGGCAAAAGCGGAGAATTCAATGACAGTGTCAGTTTCATGACATTTTTAACTGTTAACGACCATCACATATTAACAAAACTAGCAGCCCTATAATAAAAAAGCCTAGGGCAATCAGACAAGGTAATCACCTAAACTGCAGGCTATGTCAAACCTGCAGGTGGGCCTGGTGCGAGAGGGGGCTACAAGTGAGAGTTCTTTGAGTACAGTGAAAGACCGTCAAGTGTGATTGGACCGCGTAGCATAGAACGCTAATTAGTTTTGAGCCAGGAGCTTCAAAACTAGGGACTAGAGAGGCGAATGGGATTATTGAGAAGAAGGTAGTTTGATCTTTGAACCCAGAATTTTATTGAGGAGGAATGACACCGGCTGTCAAGTCGCGGCTCACTTGACGGAACCCGGCCACACCTCCAAGTTCGATGAGGCCGAAATTCCCGTGAAAGATGACAGCTGTGTGAGCCGGGAGTTGCCTGAGTCAAGGATATTCGGTCCAGAGTCCGTCCACAAGCGCAATGGCCTCTTTCCCATCTAGGGCTAAGATCTTGGCTGAGAACAGTTAGTCGCGCGCTGAGCACGCTTCTAGCGGCAGCATGTACGAACCAAATGATCGAGTAGAAATCACACCAACCATCACCACTGGCGACAAAGTTGCGGCCATTAACTTCTCGTATTCGTGCAATCAGGCAATCATCGCAAGTTTTACTATCCGTGAGGAATTCAGGAGCTGCTAATACTGAGAAGTGTGTGGTCGCACAGTGACTGCATCCTATAAATACTCTACCTTCCGTGTATTCGCCTCCCTTATTAATTATCCTCTCTACTTTTGGGGTCGAGTGTGCATCCGAAACATCAGGTAAATTAGGTTATTCGCCCTTATTTTCAACTGTTTCTTCGAACTTATTTTTTCGCTTGTATCTGCCAATCGGTCATTTCTGGCACCGAATACTTCAACCACAGCAGTAAGAGATGGATCAGATCTTCTCCACACTTACCCACTTCTGGTTTTCCTTGTATCGGAACTTCCTCTGAGTGTCGTAGGAGATGCCTTATCTGAGCTCTAAATAAGATCTTGAGGACTTTCCTTGGCATGGCTAGTGTTCGCCAGGAGTTTCGTGATAAGGCATCTTTTTGCCTTACTTTCTGCTGACAACAGCAACTCCTACATACGTTCGACCAGCTGATTTGCCAATCGTCTTTGCTGTTGTCATATCGGCATTCATGATTACATATTACCTCGTAAATGAGGTTCGACGTAGCGTGCATACACAACAAATCTATGAGTGGCCTAACCAAAATATCTGCCTTAGAGCCTGGGAACAAGCTAGATGCGATGCATGCCTGTTCAATCGTACACCGGACCTGTCATTTGATCGCGCCTAAAAGGAGTATCCTTGGGAAGAAGTTAAATGCCGTCAAGTTTTTTTTGAGCTGCCACTCTTACTGAATCATCTTGCTTAAGATGGTGGTATCAATAAATTAGGGAAGGCAACCGTTTCTAAGGATGTCTTTTAATAAAGGATCTCGTCCTTTATCATTGCTGGGAAACAACTTTCAGTAACTCGATTGAACAAACTCGTCACTAGCTTTCTTACTCTTTGAATTCGGGCAAAACTCGAAATATGCATGTACTGTCCTTCCACTTGTCTTTTGGTAAACTGGTGTCTTGATGAAGCTTCTACTCGCAACTGTACAGGAATGTCGAAGAAAGAGGCCTTGTTGTATCCCTCATGCTCAATCCGAAATTTGGTTTTTGAATGTGTCTTTCTCGCGACAGACAGTTGTATTTCTCGTGTTTGGGACCATTTATTACGACGAAACTGTCATTCATATAGCCTTCATAGACTCCTCCTGCTTCATCGCCTCTACCGCCTCAACGTCTGCCGCTGTTGCGTCTGCCATGCCCATCAACACTACACACAATCGTGACACACCAACACCACCACCGTCAATACCAGTGACGAGGGCTGGGTCCAGACCTGTCCACATTGCGATCGCACTTTCACCTCACACATCGGCCTGGTCGGTCACTTGCGAATCCGTGGCACAGCGGCTGGTGAACGAGTGCCTGGAGCACCAACCTACACCTGCCCCGTTTGCGCACCCGCCTCCCCTGTCCGCACTGTCCACGCACATTCAGGCGGAATTGGCCGCAGCCCCGACACACTTAGCACATCCAGCACACTATCATGCCTAGCCCCGCCCACGCTCCGCCGCCCATTGCACCCACCACCAGCTCTATCACACTCAGCACATCTTGCACGTCCACCATGCTCAACTCAACCAACACCCCGTCGCCCATCGCACTCGCCACCACCAGCACCACCATCACCGAACCTGATGCTGACACCGCCGACTTCTCATGTCCACACTGTCCCCGTACACTCACCTTCCACGTCGTCCTGGTCGGTCACTTGCAAATCCATCGCACCAATGCCTGGAGCACCAAGCTACACTCACCGTATCCGACTCCACCGTCCACATTGTACTCGCACATTTACTCACCGCATGGGTCTATTAAGCCACATGCGTGTCCACGAAAACCTGCGGTAGCCAACCGGTGGCTGCACCACACCATTACATCCTCCATTACTAGCATCTCACCGCACATCAAAATCACCCACCGCAGGCACCCAACTGTTACCTCCCACGCAAACGGGAAGTGCGCGTCTCGGCCCCTTCACCATGCGACTCCCTTGCTGCATGTGTGATCGGAATCTGAGACAAAGATGGCGCGTCGAGCGCCGTGGCTCGGAAGGCGGCCAACTGGCGCCCCAACTCAGTCCACGCAGTCTGCCCAGTTGTGTGTGTTGTGTGGAGTGGTGGGCTGAGAGCCAGGCTGACACGGTCCCGTCTCAAGCGATCTGCAACACTCGCGTGCTTGTGAGGAGAGTGTGTGTGTCTTATGGGTAGTGCCTCTGAGTCGACGACTGTTTGCTTATCTAACTTTGAAGGGTGACGCATCAGGCTAAACGCACGGCCACGTGTTGCCCTTCTAGGTCAAAAGGTCTGAAAGCATATGCTATGCCAGTATCAGCAAACCATGGCCCTCAGCCTTCTATGCGCCGACAGTTCCCTGCCGGTAGATGCGCGTGCGCTCCCACTGGGTATACAGCTGGTGGGAATGGCTGCCCAGTCATCATCCTCTTTCTCCTGACCCCTGATGCTGTTGCTACTGCTGTTGTTGTTAGTCAAAAACCTGGTCATTGGCTGTGTGGACCGGGGCACGTAGAGTTGGACGCCAATATGCGGGCTCGACTGCGCCATCCACCTGCGCCCCCCCCGCCTCCGGTCTTCTTGACTGTCTTGACACCAGGTCCAGCTGAGGAGTGGAGAAGAGAGAGTGCGGTAGATGCTGCGCAAGTCTACCATCGCTATAAACTAATTCACGCGCAAGTCACCGTGCCTGCTTCACCTTGTTGTGAAGCACGCGGTGGACATTGTCGAACTCGACGGTCGAACTATAGAGTGTAATTCATTGTAGGTTTTGGGACGGTTTTCGCCCGGGGCTTGCTAGTGAGATGCCTCTTAGGACTGGCAACAATGTGCCGTCAATAGCTACACTGTCGACCCGCCTCAACAACTGCCGACTCACCAGGAATTTAATATCCTTGGCACATAACTGCAGTAGCTCTCACAGTTTTCATTGCGCTAGATATGTTCCAGCTGCGGTCTCACAAATTATCTTAATGATTTTATGAAGCGTCAGGTTAGTAAACTAGCCTTACATATGCATTGGTATCATGTGCCCATGCAGCATGTTTTCATCATTCTTACCGTGTATTTGGTTATATACGCAGCAATACTTTGTCTGGTTAGTTCTATTTGTTGTTGTTGGGGCAAATTCCTTATTGATAGAATTGGTCGCAGCGGCGCCCCTGGTTTGCGTATTTCCGATAGCCCGTACATTCTAGGAATATGCGAGTTAATGGACCTAAGACATGCAACCTTCTCTTGGCTATGACTTGGCTCATTAATGGTGGTTCCACATTTACTTTAATAAGGACTCGCGACTTTGTTTCCTCTTTTCCAGTGGTTTCACTAAAACATTTGTGAAAACCGCTGAACGCTGCTTCTATTTTACTTGCATAGCCAGAAGTATTTAAATCAGCCCAGTCGTCTTTTTCAGGTTTCCAGATGACATCAACTGCCCTCTGTAGATCACATAGAGCTAAAAGGTGTTGTTTAATCAAAGGTGAGCGCGGCGTATCGAGGGGTGCTCTGTACTCATAGGTGATATTGGCTAATTTCGGTTTTAATTACTTTGTTTTTTGACATCACCGTTAGGTCTGCTAACTCGGAAGATGATTTGTCGAGCGTAGTTTCAGTCTCCGTGAGCCTATCCTGCGTTATAGTAGAAAGAATGTGGGCCCTAAAGGGCAGATTTTACTTTACCCAGTGTTAGATACAATAAGTTTGCCACATGAGCTTCTTGATGTAAAGGAGGCTGTTTGCCAATAGCTTGTCTGTTTGACGAATTAAACGGATTCGCGTGGAACGACTGTTTTATCTTGGCTCCGTTCGCGCTACTGAATAGTATTCTATGCTGTGTAGCCTTAATCATGCCTGATGAGTCTTCACTGCAACCACAGCTCCCCCAGCCATACCCCATCTTGCTCCAGATCGACTTTCAGGTCTAACATGCCCTGCTGTTCGTGCACTTATTCCCCCAGTTAGTCTTCGTTGTATTCTAACTGAGCAGCTACTTTTGTTAATGCATAATGACCGTTAACATTTGGTCAAGTGGTCGCGCACTTTGTAAAATCATTCGATATGAAACAGAGTTCAAGTAAGCTTATGACGTTTCCTGAATTTAGCAGCTCAAGTAAATGCATTCAGTCGTCAAGACTTCCACCTCAACTAAGTATATTTTTTATAGAGGACTTCTTTTCACGAGGGGGGTACTAGGTTAGCGTGGGCCTGAAATTACTTTTAGCAGGAGGTTTTTTGCGTTCCATTATCATTATCAAATACCTAGTTCATTTGAACAGTCAAATTGTGCCCACACATGCTGGTAGCCATTCCTCCTTTATGAATTTACAATGTCTAGACGTCAATTGCAGTTAGTGTTTTGATTAGGCGCGATTGCCCAAATAGTCGGAACCCGGAAACCTTGTTTAATTTCAGAGCTTGTTTGAATATTTGACTGTTTCGTTGTGGGCTTCCAATCTAGGGTTTAAATTTCGACCACGTTCTTGTTCGCACTATGTCCACTCACTCTGTTATCTTTTTTCCTACTTGAACCTCCTCACAATAACTACAATCCGTTCGGGATAATGCATGGAGCCTTCATTTCATGGCGCTTGAGTGCCCTCTGTTTCACATGCATTAGGTTAGCTGCGTTTCGTTAGTCGTTAAGATGGGCTGCACACCTGGCATGCGTTATACGTAAGGGCTACTCCAGGTCAACCATTTCACTTGATCGCATTCCCAGTCAGTATTAGAAGGGAATAGCACTAATACACGAACCTGTGAAGAGTCACTGTGACTGTGAGGGACCTATAAAGGTCATTTCAAACACTAGCCTAAAAACCGCAACTTTAAGTTCGGATGGCCCCGACCGATTGCTAGCCCCAGTCTCCACCGTTGTTGGGCAAGAAGTTTATGAGGCACGGGGTTGCTGGGCGGCTCCTATTTTAGGAATTTAAGTTTATCTGGTATGCATGAGTTTCGACACCAGGTGGTTTACCATCGATGTTATTCACATTCAAACCTAGTGCTCTAGTTCAGTACCCCACGTCATTAATCCAGACTGTCCCAGTCTCTCGCATATTGATGCAGGCATGCTGCACCTCCACAAGCGTACGATATGCAATGAAGACAAGTGTTCGGTGAGTTTGCTGTCCACCAAGACCTAAATTTTTTCAGAGTCGGCTTCAAGAAAGAGCCAGACCATGGGGGAGTAGTGGCCTCTAATTTGAACGGAAACGTGCTGGCCATATTCACAGAGCATCGGTATTCCTAAAGAAAAGCCATTTTTATTCACAGCTAGCCTGCTTTCGGCCCGGTTGTGTAAGATGTGTTTTCCCGCCTTCTTTGTGACAGCATTCATTCTAACGGATTCAACGGACTCCATGCTGCAAGTAAACGGCGCCCGAAATGGTCATTTTCCATTAAATACAGTTGGCGACACGATCTTACGCGAAGTTTAACCAGTTGACACGTCATCCACACAAACCATGGATAGTGGGATAAAGCAGACGCTGAAGGCCCCTTTGCCGATAGAAGCGAAGGGACGAGTTCCAGAAGGCAGTTCAGAAGAAGGTGCGATCGCTGGAACAAGAGGTTTATTGGTTTGACGTTTTGGATTCTCACACCCATCCTTAGAGACAGTTGCAGATAGGGGTAGTGGAGACACAAGTAATGCATTTTTATAGGACGCAGTTGCCATGCGACCACATGCCTACTCTCACTAGTAGCTCCCAAATTCATCGCTGGTGGTTGTATTTGATGCTTAGGTCGTTAATTGTTGAAGTGTAATTGCCGTTGTGGATTCTTGGCGTGATAATGACCCAGCCATTTGGCTCACTGCTACTGGGACTGTCGGTCCAGTGCGCGTTCCCGCATGGCTAATTACTCCGTACAAACAAGATCTCAGCACGGAATATGGGGTCGGGAGATCATTTTTACGGTGGCACCGATGTAACAAAAGCCCAATTCGCTGCTTTGCAAGCATATATCTCGACACAGGCACAAAGGTTGAAAAGCTAATTATGACGAGCATCGGCGTCATAGGGGTCGAAGCTGGCCGAATTATGCGCGGTGCACAGTTGGTCTTTCCTAAGCTCAGGCCAGGAATTGACGAAAAGAACGTGTGAAATCCAGCAAACAGGCAATCCTCTCCAGGTGCTTAACCGTGCTCTAGTTTCACTTTACACCCTCACAGATCTCAGGAATCGGTCGTGAGCCGCAGTCTGCTCGGCGACTGAGCAGAATGTCCCTCCTGATCGTCGCGTCCTATCATGACATTGTCGTCCCATCTTGCGTGTTTTTGTTCTTTAAATGCCGATAATTTCCGGACTGCCTGGTCCTCAGAGTCTGGCACAGCCATCCGGTATCTCTATTAGCTGGATTACAGTCTACGTCTCAGACAATTGTATTTCTAAGCTATTGACGCATAACGGTTATAATAGCATCCAATTAAACATTGTGTCATTCCGAAGACCAGTGCTTCTGGGTCTCTTGGCTGGCCGAAGGGTTTCGCTAGTTGTCGCGTTTTTATGATGTCAGCATTTGCTTTAGTTTCCCACCTTCAAAATGCTATAGATGAAATAGTTTGATTCCTACGCGAAAATATCTCAGGTCAAGTTGTCACCTGTACCAACATGGTGATGATCGGGTGGAGCTTCAAGACAACTTCGGGATGTCGGAACATTTGATTCGACCCAGCGGGTCGTGTACCCTCAAACATACGTAATCTGGTCTGTTGTCGAATCTTCATAGAAGCTTGCTCGGAGCCACCCTTCCTACTTGCGTTGGCTGCATGCGAGGCCTAGTCTTCTAGTGTAAATCCGTTTCAGAAAGTTTGGACGAGTTTGTGTTCATTGAGGTTTGCCGTCAGTTGGAGTGCAACCAATTAACAAGGCTCCTCCTCATTCATGCGACGCCTTCCATGGTGTTTCATATCAGCCCTCCTAACAAGGCGACCATTTCTAATTCTTAGTTTGGCTCGGAATTCGCCTTAGGTGCTCCTGAGTAGCATGCGGTTTTGTTGAAATGCTGAGTCTGTAGACTAACATATCATTTCAACTTTTTAATAGCGGAAATTAATCGCTAAAATGCGGCAAATCCATCGGAATGAAGCTCTTTGAGCTCGGTCCGGGAGTTGCTATGAATATTTGAGCGAAAATCCACCAGCTTCAGTGGGATAACCGCATGATATTCATAAGCTACCAACAGGCAGCCGGTATAATGCACATATTGCATGATTTATCATATTGACGCCTCAAAAATTCAAAGCAACTTTCGGACTGAGCCTCTCAGGTTTCCTTCCCATTGATTTAGTGAAAGTTAGTGACTGATTTCTGAGGAGATTGAGGGGCTGAAATTTGAAAACTGGAGGCTTCACCAGAAAGCACACGTGAACGCTGGGGGACTCACTGATAAGCCGAACCACTCGCAGCTGTCTTATGCAACGACAGCATATCGGCAAAACAGGTGTCTGGACTTTTGGCTAGTGCCGTGCTGCCAGTAGGATAAGTCATGAAACAAAAAATATAACTCTTGTCTACATATTTTTCGCGGACTCTACCTCAGTAAAGAACATCTAGCTGATCGACATTACAATGCTTTGCACCTTTTTTCAAAATACTGCCATGCCAAGAACGTCCACCGCCACCGCAATCGCTTCCAGCCGTGGTGGTCTTATAGTTCGACCGACCGACTGCAACGCGGACGCTCACGCATATCCTGAAAAGCACAATCTTTCCTCGCATGACACGACTCACGCACCTCTGGACGAAAGGATCTGGACTTTGCCCCGATCAGCATGGCAGTCCGGTCATTGAATTCGATCATGTTTGCTGTGTGTTCCTTAGCACTATGGACGCAGAATAGTGACTCGCTGGTTAATTGGTTTATGGTAATGGCGGACATGCGCAGCACCCACCTCGCCCCCTCTTTTTTCAACCACCCTGGCCCGATTCAGGCCTAGTGGCCGCCGAAGATAAGTGGCCCGTCTGCGCGTGCCACTCATGGACTGGTCCCGCACAATGCACCGCGTCGGTGGATGCGCTATAAATGCCACGTTCAGGAGGAGCTAGTGAACCCGACCCTGCGTCCTGATAGGGCTGACTTACTTAATGGTAGGGGGGCGCTCACCGATCGTTCTTACGAAACTCACTCGTTCCGTTGTGCCTTATGGGCTCTCTCTCTAGAACCCAACCAGCAGCCACTGGCCCGGTGGTTAGAGGTGTGGACTTCTAACTAACAGGTCGCGAGTTCGAGCTTCGGGTGTTCCACACTTCGGGATTGGGTATGACTGGCTGACCACGGCTAATAAGCCATAAATGGCCATTCCAGTCTCCCTTGCCTTTGTCGGCAACAACATACTGACTTATCTAGTCAGTTGTCAACCTTCCAAACCACACCTTTTAATACGTTCTTATAGTTTCAAAGTGGGTCAGATTTTTTTAAAGCGAGGAGTGTTCTGAAGTGTTGTGGGGACGAATTTCTTAGCATCGACCCCGTTCTCTCCTTTTTACATGCACCAGTCCACCATCCGAACCGGCCAGCCATTTGATGCAGGGATTGGACGCAAGTGGCTGGCTTGGCGTGAAGCCCGCGCCTAGACGTGCCACCACACACCAATGTGCGGCAGTTGTTATGGGATGCGCGGACTCTGCGCAGCCCGGTTTGCGTGTGCGTGCCCCAATCTGGCTCATGCATTGGGGTCCAGTGCCTCGACAACGCAGCGCGTTGTGGGGACACGTAATTCAGCACATGAAGAAGTCGATACCTTAAAAACTAGCATATGCCTTAACGTTGTTAGCCCATAGCCTGGCCTCACCAGCAGTCAACGATATCTCAGATGGCAGCTCAGCCTTTTTCACGGAATAAATCCTCCCACTGGTAGTCTTTCATCTACTAATGCCAGAGCCGTGGCCTTGGTTGTGATGATTAAGGTATTCAAATTACTTTGACCGCGACTAACACGAGGGCCTTTCCTTTGACAATTTAACTTCATAGGGACTGCCGCCATTCTTTATCAGGCAGTCTTCGAACACTAAGAGGGTTATTTTTGGGGAAATTATTACTGTGAAAGGAGATATCTTCATTTTTCTCACTGTGTCCTCAACAATTTCGAATAGACCAGGGAAAACAAAAAAAACCATCCGGTCTAGAACTTTTCTGCGATATATGAGCTCCCCCAACTTTATACCTCTTGTCTTTTTAGGCTGAACGTGAACGCTCTTTGGCACTTCGTCAGGAGACGCTCTTGGAAATTGAACCAGCACAAAATCGGGCCAGCATTTTGAGACGTCTTTATGGAGAACAACGTCGCCTTGAGGCCGACCTCTTGTCAATGAACCTTGCATCGAGGATGGCATCTGCCTCCTTATTGGACAGTGGACAGTCGACACCTCCTACGTCTTTAAATTCAGGACAGCAGGAGTTCAGCCAGGTTTCGCAGCCGCCTGTAAACGTGTCGGTAAGGTCGACGGGTAATTTTCAATTAGCCGTAGTAACCCTTCCCCTTTTTTGAATTTTTGCCTTCGGTGATCGGGTCGGCTAAGTTCGTTGTAAATGTGCACGCCTGACTCGTCTACCAGCAGTAAGTGTAGTTGCCGACTGAGGCGTTGTTCAACTTAATATGTCTACTTGTGACACCCTACCTTTGTTTTTCCTTACAAGTTTCGCCACATATATATAATGGTAGGGGCGCTCACCGATCGTTTTTACGGAGCTCACTCGTTCCGTTGTGTCTTACGGGCTCTCTCTCTCGAGCCCGAAGATTCGAGTCCTGGACATAAATGAGAAGAGGTGATCTGGGGAACCATGGTGTATTGCCCTGACGTTTCAAAAGTAGACAATCTTCCATCGTCGGAGGTGAGTATCGCCCGGCATCACACAGTATTTATAGGGGGGGAGATGACAGTCATGTTAACGCGGCGGTAATTATACGGGGGAGTCGTTAATCGGCTTTGGAGCTAATGACCCGCATACGCACAGGGGTCGTCTCTGTAGTCGCCGGGGCAAAGCGGGAGGGAGGATGACTGCTGTCAGTCCAATAGAAGCGAAGAGCCGAGTCCCAGGAAGTAGTCTTGAAGAAGGAGACACGATCGCCGGGACAAGAGCTTTATTAGCCTGACGTTTCGGATTCCTACTCGAATCCATCATCAGAGACAAAAGAGCAGAAACGGGTGGTTGTTGCACAAGGGGCTGCGGTATTTATAGGATGCAGCAGCCATGCTACCGCATACTTATGAACGTTCACGGCTTCCCCCTTCATCCGGGATTGTCACACTTGGTGTGATCATTACTTGGTGGCCGACATTTGAGTCGATAATTGCTGCAATTTCCTCACGTGCGTTGGATGTTGGCGTGATGATTGCTCGACCATCTGACGCGCTGACCCGGGTGTTGGGTAGAGTGTTCACCAGTGCGCTCCCCGCGTGGCCAATTACTCCACCTAGACGAAGTCTCAGCACGCTGTATTGAATGGGAAGGTCGTTGCACTTGTTGGTGGACTGGGGGCCAGTAAACCATGATTCCAGTAGCTCCCGGCTCA